GCAGGCGAGAGTGCGATTTGTCCGGTCCGCGCGCAACCCTCTGCGGAGATCGTGCGTGTCGAGTGCGCGAAATGCAGGCGAGAGCGCGATTCGTCCGGTGTGCGCGCGACCCTCTCCGGAGATCGAATCGTGCGTGTCGAGTGCGCGAAATGCAGGCGATGCAGGCGAGAGTGCGATTTGCCGGCTGCGCGCGCAACCCTCTGCGGAGATCGTGCGTGTCGAGTGCGCGAAATGCAGGCGAGAGTGCGATTTGCCGGCTGCGCGCGCAACCCGCTGCGGAGATCGTGCGTGTCGAGTGCGCGAAATGCAGGCGAGAGTGCGATGTACCGGGTGTGCGCGCGACCCTCTGCGGAGATCGTGCGTGTCGAGTGCGCGAAATGCAGGCGAGAGCGCGATTTGTGAAATTACCGCGCAACCCTCTGCGGAGATCGTGCGTGTCGAGTGCGCGAAATGCAGGCGAGAGCGCGATTTGTGAAATTACCGCGCGACTCTCTGCGGAGATCGTGCGTGTCGAGTGCGCGAAATGCAGGCGAGAGTGCGATTCGTTTAGCAGCGGAGCAAGCTGTGGAGTTGGAAGGCTGAGAACTGGCGATGTGGTAGTACAACTGTAGTACGCGGAGTAGCTGGGGAGTGGGAAGATGAGAACTGGCGAGTGGGTAGTACAACTTGAGTACGCGGAGTATCTGGGGAGCTGGAAGATGAGCACTGGCGACTTTGTAGTACAACTATAGTACGTGGAGTAGCTGGGGAGCTGGAAGCTGAGAACTGGTGACTTTGTAGTACAACTTTAGTACGCGGAGCAATCTGTGGAGCTGGAAGCTGAGAACTGGCGACTGTGTAGTACAACTTTAGTACGCGGAGTAGCTGTGGAGCTGGAAGCTGAGAACTGGCGAGTTTCTAGTACAACTTTAGTACGCGGAGCAATCTGTCGAGCTGGAAGCTGAGAACTGGCGACTTTGTAGTACAACTTTAGTACGCGGAGTAGCTGGGGAGCTGGAAGATGAGAACTGGCGACTTGGTAGTACAACTTTAGTACGCAGAGTAACTGGCGAGTGGCCAGATGAGAACTGGTGACTTGGTAGTAGAATGACTTGGTAGTACAACTTTAGTACACGGAGTATCTGGGGAGTAGCCAGATGAGAACTGGTGACTTGGTAGTACAATGACTTGGTAGTACAACTTTAGTACGCGGAGTATCCGGGGAGCTGGAAGATGAGAACTGGCGACTGGGTAGTACAAGTTGAGTACGCGGAGTATCTGGGGAGTTGGAAGATGAGAACTGGCGACCTGGTAGTGCAATTTTAGTACGCGGAGCAATCTGTGGAGCTGGAAGATGAGAACTGGCGACTGGCGACTTTGTAGTACAACTTGAGTACGCTTCATTCCAGCTTGCTTTTTTCAGCGAGATTTCCTGGAGGCGTGCACGCTGCTTCTCTCCTTACCAGCAGCCCAAATGCTCACAACTACACACCTATGTCGATTACCTAGATCCTGGCAGGACGCTACTAGGTGCTCTTGCCCTTAAGCTACTAGCAGGAAACCTACGTAACACTTCACACCGCACACTTGACAGATGACTCGCACTCTGACTTCCTACGTGATGAAAAATGCTTTCGGGCCACTCGTCGTCTAGTTGAAGGGGTGCATGATGGTACATGTGTTCGAATCACCGTGAATCATGGTCACACATCCGACATGGTAGGTCCAGCAAGACTTGGAGTACTTCCTCAAGAAGGGAGATCAGTTGCGCAGAAGTGGCGCTTATATTGAAGCCATACAGGCAGCTTCAGCCATGGAATTGGCAGCAGCAAGCTTTGCGGGAGGTTGTTGTCACGGGTAGGGAGGGAATTTTCCGGCCACCACATTGCTCACAAGAGGTGTTTCAACTTCTTTTAAAAGACATGATTACCAACTGCACAGCTGTTTTCCTTCTCTACTCCAGTCACAGAACTGGAATATAAGTGGCGATCCTTGGGAGGAAAATATGCCAACAGCATCAAGCAGCAACAATTCAAGCACACATGCAATTCGATGTTCTCTGGACAACTCTCGGGTGTGCCAACTACACATCGCAGGTGCTGAACCGCGCGCTGCTCTTGGAGAAGAGCCCCCGCGCCCTTGCGGCCCGTGCAGCGGCACGGCGTGCCCTGCTGCAGCGGGAAGAGGCTTGGGTCTGCTGAGTCGGCTATTTATGGTTTTCCTTTTTGATCCTTTTTGCTAACTTGTGCTTCCACATTCAGCTCCTGTGGGTTTGCTGGTATGCTTTCGGACCTCTTCTCTCCCACTGGTCCCACTGCTCATCCGATCTGCTAGGCGGTGAATGACTACACAGCAGCCTTCAAACTGGACCCTGCGGCTGTTTATCTCAGCAGCCGGGGCGTGGTGAAGTCGGAGCTGGGTTGGTATCGACCCTTGGACCGTGAAGGAGCTGGGTCGAAGGAGACGTGCAACTGTCCGGTTCCCACACCAGGTTCGGATCAGCGAGGTTCCAGATGATTCCAAAAGAGACCAATCTATCTGTTTTTGGCATACAGTCCAGCAAAAGATCAGGCCAAGAATGTGGAGCTAGTTGTGGAGCTGCGCACTGGCTTCAACAGCTTGAGACTGATGGTGCTGATGGCTGTCATGTTTTTCAGCTTGGCATTTCTCCTCCGGTCGTTCATGACAGAGTCGCCAACAATAGGTAGATGGATAGAGTCGCCAACAAGGGAATGAAGATGTGCAACCTCGTTCTGGACGATCCAAGGAGACGCGTTGGATGATTTCCAGAGTGCCCTCAAAATGGATCCCATGGACAAAGCAACTTAGATGAAATGGACATCTTACATTGTTTGACTTTCAGTTTGATTTTGTTGGTGAATTTTGAGACATCGTCATTGCTTCCAGTCTTTCTTCCTGGAAGCCCCACCCAGTGTGATTTGATCTGCACGTCATGAGGTTGCCAAGAACGGTCTCCAGTGGGTGCATCAGCAGGAGAGCCACGCACCCCTGAGAATCCTCTTCCTTGGAGGTTTTAAGCGGATGAGTGCCATGATGCTTGGCTTTCACGGACTTTAGCTGGGTGGAATGGAACCAACAAAGTACAGCTTGAGAAAGGTGCAACTGCTTCCGGTACTTCTTTCCGAGCTGAGGAACACGACCTATGTGGAGCGACGCATCCCTGCGTGCATCATCATGGGCCGGGAGAGCTACTGGTCCTTGGATAACCAGCACGTGCTCTACTGGAGTAGCCAGGCAGGCCGCTGGCCGAGCGCCGTTTTGTAAGAAAAGGGTCCTCAGGCACTTTTCAGTGAGGAATGTGAAGATGTGCTTTTGGTTCACAGGAGTAGAGGGCTGTTCTGGACATGCAAGGTGCCAGCCATGAAACCCACAGTGGTCATGCACAGGAGAGACGCTGGAAGGGCTGCCGTGCTGTGGATGTGGAACGGATTTCCCAGCAGGAAGCTTGGCCGAGATCAGGACACTCAAGGTACCATCCTTCCAAAGATTCTGGAATGTATCCTTAAACATCTCAAAAGCATCGAACATTTGGGTCTTCCTGACATATCGCTTACCATTTTACGATTGATGCAAGCTGTGCCGAAGAGGTCCCGGTCGGGGTGACACCAAGTCCAGGCTCCGTCACCACTCCTTCGGAGCGAGCCCAGGCGTCTCCTGGATGCATCGGCGCGCCGGAACGCACGCACGTCTTGTCTGGCTCACTGCCGCGGGGCTGGTTTGAGTGGACTGGCACTGAGTGGGCCAAGCTGCCTGGCTGCAAGCTCCAGAGACGGGACGGGCACGAACCACTGCAGTGAGATGAGTTGGGAATATATTATATATGTTGGAGACAGGGAAA